GTCCTGTCTGCACAATTGGGTTCGTTCCTGTCCAACAAATCCTGACACTTATTCTATTTCAACACTGTTCTTTGTTAATTTCCACCTTATTCAGTTACATTTGCAGGGCTTGGCTGCTTGTGAGCGTTGAACTTAGGAGATGGCGCCCCCTTGTGTTCGCACCACCGTGATACCATCACTCAGCTGCAGGCACGCCCAGTTCTTTCCTTCTCGCCGGCACTGACTGGCTCGAGTTTTCACTGTAACTTCTCAATGACGACACGCGGGCACGGCTTCTTTGTTTGAAACGGGCACTTTAATGAATGCCGTGAAAACTACAGAAACAAGACAGAAAGTACAGAAGTAAAACAAAAGGTTTCAGGTACAGTACTGAGCGACGAGTAAAACATGCTTTAACAAAGAAATACCTCATGGCCGCTCGTCATGAAAGAAGTCCTAAGCGAATGTTTCTCATCTTGTGCATTCTAAATAAGCATATAAAACATCAGAACACCATAACTGACCGATTTACAATGTATCACAACAGTTATAAATACCTTTACAGTTAGCGAACTATCGAGGCTGCTGCACGCCTCTCGTGTCCACAGGTAACTGCATGTGGCTTCAGGTAAATGTGTGTGTGTCGAGCACAAAAGATCTCGCCACTCTCTTCCGTTCACATAAATCTCGCGATAACAGTACAACCAAAAAAATAGTCCTTCATTACAGAATAAATGCATCTTATGCAAAATAAAACATATTTCACAGTGTGAACTAAACAAACTAAAAACAAAATATTCTAACTACTGAAAACAAATATGAACCCGTTTAAAACATAAATCAATCATTGTGGTGACACTTACAATTACCTCAAACTCTCACAACCTACGTGTCCTCTTCTCCACCCTAAACTCTGTTCTCCACCTCACTGAACCATCACCTCTGGAAGCCTCGACTGAGCTGTGCGAGAACTTCCTACATTTCTTTGTGGAAAAAATTGTGACCACCAGGGCTCTCATTTCCCCTCCAACTCATGACCCATCCATCCCACCTCAACCTGTAGCTCCTTTTGACCATTTTGAACCCATCACTATCTTCTCTAGAGCAGGTCATGTGCAGCTTGAAACCTTCTGGTTCCCCCTTTGATGTGGTCCCCCCTCGACTACTAAATGAGGTGTTTCCAACTCTAGGTCCGTCCATTCTTGCCATAGTAAACAGTAGTTTATCCACTGGCGTGGTGCCAAAATCCTTTAAACATGCTGCTGTCCAGCCTCTCCTGAAAAAACCAAACCTTGACCCCTCAGTTGTTTCCAACTTCCGGCCTGTCTCCAAACTCCCATTTGTTACTAAAGTACTGGAGAAAATAGTCGAGTCCCAGTTGAAGTGCTTCCTGGAGGATCACACCATCTTAGAGCTTTTCCAATCTGGCTTTAAACCTCTCCACAGCACTGAAACTGCCCTGCTGAAGGTCTTTAACGACATCTTCAGATTCACAGATACCGGTGATTCTGTGCTGCTTGTCCTGTTGGACCTCACAGCCACCTTTGACACCATCGACCATGAGATCCTCATTGCTAGGTTGGAGCAGTGGGTGGGCGTCACAGGGTCAGCCCTCAATTGGTTCAGATCTTACCTCACTGACAGATCCTTTTGTGTCTCCATAAAGGATTTTAGTTTCGCAGAGGCAGAGCTTAAATGGGGGGTTCCGCAGGGGTCCATACTGGGTCCCCTCCTATTATCTTTATACCTGCTGCCACTTGGTGCTATTTTCTGGAAACACAACATGCCCTTCCACTTCTATGCCGATGACTGTCAAATTTACTTCTCTCTAAGACACAATGGTACATGCTCTATTCAACCGCTGCTCAACTGCCTGGCTGACATCAGGGATGGATGGCTTTAAATTTCTTAAGTTTCAATGAAAAGAAGTCTGAAGTCATGTTGTTCCCTCCCATCGACACGATCACAAACCACTGCATCGACCTCTCCGCTCTAACCCTGTCAGAAAAACAAAGAGTCACTAATCTCGGCGTGATAATGGACCCTTCCCTGAAGCTTAACAATCATGTAAACATGATTGTTAAATCATGCTTCTTCCAACTGAGGCGGCTGTCTAAACTGAAGCCCATATTGTCCAAAAATAACCTGGAGACAGTAATACATGCATTCATTACATCTAGGCTTGATTACTGCAATTCACTCCTGTTTGGTATCAGTCAAACCTCCATTGCACGACTACAACTGGTCCAGAATGCAGCAGCCAGATTTTTAACCAGTACAGGCAAAAGAGAGCACATTACACCAGTTTTTGTCTCACTGCACTGGTTACCGGTTCACTTTCGAATCCAGTTCAAAATACTCATGTATGTCTACAAATCACTGAACAGTGTCGCCCCCCCATATCTCTCCGATTTGCTATAACCGTATGTCCCACCACACTCCCTGAGGTCAGCGGACCTGTTGCTCCTCACAGTTCCAGGAACTCGTCTTAAGCGCAGAGGTGACAGGACCTTCTCTGTAGCAGGACCAAGACTCTGGAACGAGTTAGCTCTGCTTGTCAGACAGGCCCCTCCCTCTCGTTTTCAAATCCCATTTAAAAACTCACTACTATTCAGTAGCTTTCAACACCAGATGATCTGTGTTTTGATCCTGTATGCTCCACACTGGTTTGTCATTATCTGCATCGTTTTTTGTCTATATTCTGATTTACCTCATTTTGTATTTTGCTTTGTGTGTTACCTGTTGTTCTGTCTGTACAGCACTTTGGTTGGCCTTGTTGCTGTTTTAAGTGCTTTATAAATAAAGTGGTATGGTAAAAACTATCGGCCAATCTCTAAACTCTGCATTTTAGCCAAGGTTCTAGAAAAACTGATAAACTCTCAAATCAAAAATGACCTGGACTCATTTAACACCTTACCTCCACATCAATCTTGTTTCAGGAAACAACACAGCACAACCACAGCTTCACTGAAGGTTCTTAATGATGTTGTTGAAGCACTGGATGCTAAGGATTATTGTGCTGCACTTTTCTTAGACCTGTCTAAAGATTCTGACACTGTGGATCATAACTTCTTATGTCATAAACTCTCAGAAATTGGTTTCTCAGAACACACCATTGGTTGGTTCTCTAACTATCTTTCAGACCGGAGGCAATGTGTTCAACATAATGGTACTTCCTCCAGTTATTTAACAGTCAACAATGGTGTACCACAAGGCTCAGTCTTAGGACCCAACCTCTTTACAATCTACATACATAATTTAGGTAAAAACATCCCTAATGCATCCATACATTTCTATGCCAATGACAGTTTTTTTATTGTCGAGCTAAAACTGTTGCTAAGGCTTTCCAGCTTTTGAATTCTGCATTCAACAACATCCAGACTGATTTTGTTTCGCCTCAAACTTGTCCTAAATGCCGACAAAACCAAAGATATGCTTTTTTTTTCAAATAGGAAGTTGGTCCCAGCAGTTCTTCCTCTGATTTTATCCTCAAATGGTGTCCCGATTGAGTTTGTTGATTCCTATAAATATTTGGGTATCTTGGTCGACTCACATCTCTCTTTTAAGCTCCATGTGGAAAACTTGGTAAAGAAACTGAAAGTTAAACTGGGTTTCTTTTTCAGAAACAGATCCTGTTTAACTCTGAATGCTAGGAAACGCCTTGTATCTGTGACTTTCCTTCCCTCCATTGATTACAGTAACATTGATTACATGAACGCTCCTACAAGAACTCTGCAGATGTTGGATGCTGCAGATGTTGGATGCTGTCTATCATGGTTCACTAAGGTTCATAACTGGCTGTGATTACCGTATCCACCACTGCACCCTGTATTCACTGGTTAACTGGACATCATTAACTTCATGCAGACTCTCCCACTGGTACATTTTCATACATCTCCTCCTACATATCTCTGCGTGAGTGCAGCTACAGCGTGCGCTCTCAGGACATTATTACCTGCAGTGTTCCTTCAATGAGGACTGAACTAGGCAAAAGCGCCTTCTCCTACTCCATTCCTGTTTCCTGGAATACCTTACAAAAACAATTGAAGCTCTCGACCTTGACCTCTCTAAGTGTCTTTAAGAATCTGTTGGACTCCTGGCAGGGACCAATGCAGACATGTTCCTGTTTTTAGTTTTCTACATTTGTCTTAGAATCTAGCTGTTTTTTTTGTTACCTTTCTCTTTTAGCCATTCTATTTGTTATAAATAAATAAAAAAAACTGTAGTATGACTTTTTTTAACTGGTTATTGTTGTTGCTGTTGTCCATTGTTGTCATCTTTCTTTGTTGAAATCAGGTCTCTCTTGTAAATGAGTCCGCGAGGCTGAATGGGATTTACCTGTATAAATAAAGGTTAAATGAATGTAGAGGAAAGGGTCCTCATATCATTGAATTTTATTAGTAATTTTATTCTGAAGGGGCACTACTTGCTTTCCAGTTCTTAAGCAAGATTTTTTTTTTTTCATCAGACTCAAGTTTGGTGCTTTGAATTCTTTTCTCGTGTTTAAAGGGCATTAAAATCAGTTAATACACGCAGATATGCCAAAATAATCACAAATTTAGTTGATTTTATGTATTTTATTACAAAAATATTAATCTGTGATATATCTGATGAAGATTATGCATAAAAATGTATACACAAATGAATAACAAAATAGCTTTGTATCAAAGGTCTACGTGATTGTTCTAATCAGTAGAACTTAAAAAAGGCAGATTTTGGACTAGTTCTGTTAGTGGAGTAGTTGAAATTGTGTCTAAATTAACTGTGGTGTATATCAAGCAACATTATTGTGATGTATGATCACCAGAAAGACATTAAAGTTCTCTTGTCCTACCAGAATGAGATGGTCAGAATGGTCCAACAGCTGCTTAAAAATGGTACCCGTCCAGATGTTCTGGTGACTGAGAGGCTGAGTCTTCCTCACAGTTCACCTGTCATCTTGGAGGGACGAGGGTCCATATGGGAGTCAGCTGGGATTTCCCCACAAATCTCAGGTTAATGCCAGGTTCTGCTTCTGATTTTCTTCCTTCCCAGGACATCTCACTAGGAGGAAGTTTTTTCTCTGAAGTTTGCTCGAAGTTCAATGCTTGAAGAAGATGTGATGAAGTAGAGTGAAGAAGCATAAGTGAAGAAGCATATGTAGAAGTGAAACTTAACTTAACTGTCTGTGTGTTACAGACTGACTTTGGTCCACACCTCAGAAGAGGGGGTGGTCCTAACTCTTTGTCATGTTTTATAAAATCACAGTCCATTTTCATTGTATGCCTTTAAAAAGTCACTCTTCTTTTTAAAAGGAGAAAAATAAAACATAATTATCTTAAGGAGATTACTTAAAACACACATTTTCATAAATAAACATTCAGATATGACATATTTTGAAATAACATGCAATGTTCATCAAAAGGTATCACTGTTCATCTCCTGGACAGAAAATGTCATGAAACAAAGGTTTCTTTAAAATGTGTTTTCTTCATGGGAAACTATCCTGGGAGGAATACTCCCTTTTGATAAACGTTAAAGTCTCGGCAGATGTTTCACTTCAAGGTCGTTTGAACCAAACTCATTAAAGTGATCTGTCCGTTTCATGTGAAATGAGTTCATATTGGTAGATGTTAACACAGTGACAGTTTTTTTTTTTTATATATACATTCACATTAGTGTCAATTAAGGAGTTTGTGAGCTGAGTTGAACACCTGTAAAATAAAGTCTGTTTGTTCCCAAGGGAATAGATGCATCTTATTTTAAACAGTTCAAAACACATGAATGATGTTTGTGTGAGATGAGGTGAACTGTTTATGTTTAAGCTGAGGTGAACTAGTTTCTGAGGTGGTGATCCGTTTCTGAGGTGGTGTTCCCCTACACTGTTCAAGGGGTGGATAATGATGAATCATACTGATTTTGGTGTACCTCAGTTCAAATCTGTGGAATTTAGAGCCAAATGTATGGCGACGGCGTTACGTCTTAGTTCGCCACATTGCAACGCCCACATGCTCCACCCCAAACTGTCAGTGTTGGAAAGCAAGTTACACCAACATGTCTTCGGTCACTGGATACACTATCATGCTGATCAGGTGACAGGGGTCAGATAGGGACCGTTCAAGGTAAAACTTCATACTTCCTGTTTTCAGGGGGCGTAGCTTAAGTGATGTCATGATTTGACCATTCAGTCTTGCAGGAGACCAGATGTGGATCAATCACTGAAGGTGTTGATGTCTCAGACAGTGTTCGTGTATGTGCTATTAGCGTTTTGTTTTTCACGGTGAGATGCCAAACTTTGAGGTCTGGCCCGGACCCTTCAGCATGCACGAAAACGCACCATTTTGATAACTTTTCGTCCTCCATGCCTTTTGACCAAAATGGCCAAGTTTGAAACCGATTGAGCGACATCCCTATGAGGAGTTCGCTCAAATGCGGAGGCTGTAAACCACCAAAATGGCGTGAAAATTGGGCCTTCATTCCAAAATGGCCACCTTCCTGTTTATCATACAACTTTTGTGTCAGAGGGTTTTCTGTGCATCTTGGGGAATTGGACAAGCATACCAAATTTCATGTTTCTACGACAAACTAAGGTTAATGCGGAGGGTATTTTGAAAATTTCTAGGTGGCGCTCTTGAGCCATTTCTGTTGAGATTTTGGCCACGTCCTTAAAATACGTAATTTTTCTCCAGTCCTGATCCGTCCGCCAAATTTGGTGACTTTTGGGATATGTTAAG